AGAGATGCGGAAAGTGCCAGGCACATCTTAGTAGCCTACCCGAGGTTCCTTTGTACCCCTGGGTTTGGCCCGCAAGCTCCTGGGAGCGCGTTCGTATTGATTACTGTGGTCCAGTCGATGGTTGGATGTTTTTCATCATATCTGACGCATATTCCGAGTGGCTCGATATTTATACTTCCCGGACATGTTCACCAGCGGCCACAGTCGAGCATTTACACACTTCATTTGTCCGCTGGGGGCTGCCCAAAACGCTCGTGTCAGACAGTGCACAGTGTTTCATGTGCGAAATTTTTCAGACATTCTGTCAATCAAACGGAATATACATCTGATATCGCCAGCGCTGTCACCAAAATCAAACGGCTTGGCAGAGCGTAGAACCCAAACGTAACATGGGTTTGCCGAAAAAGACCGCTGGAGGCATCCACACCAAAAAAGCACATTTCCTATTTCGCTACTGTGAAACTTCGCGCGGCACAACGCACATTGTCCCAGCTGAGCTGCTTCTGGGGAGGTCTGTACGTACGCCTCTGAATCTTTTGACGCCTGACGTGGGGGATAAAGTGAGGGGAAATCACGAGAAACAGAAACAATGTACAGATCCGGGCTCCAAGGAGCGATGAGTGCGGGTAAGCGATACGGTGTATGTATCAGCAGTGGATGGTATATGAGGTGCGGAAGGGAGCAGATGGCTTGCGGGTGTCGTAATGGAGCAAAATGGAGTAAAACGGGTTGTTCAACTGCAGGATGGGAGGGCCATCTGGAGGCCTCTGAGCAATGTGCGCCCTGATCTACACATAGTTAAGGATTGAGATACCACCACGCATTGTCAGTCAGTTGGACCGAGAAGCGACCGATGCTCCGGTAAGCGCGCAGCCAGCCATACGTGATCCCCCCGTGTGTAGTACGTTACAGCCTGCGGCCGCGGGAAACGTTGCATCGGTCGGACAGGTTGCGGCGTTCTTAAGTGTTCGCTATTGCATTGTATCGGTTGGCAGATCGCGTATGGTTTGGAAGCTGGGTACGTTGTTTATTCACGTTCTTTGTATTTTACTCAGGCGCTTTATGAGCTCGCCGTAGGTATTCGAGGTGGAGGGGTGTAATAGGACGGTGTCTGGCGCCGCATATGCTCGACTGACCTCGGCCGGCCGACCCCGCCGCGGGCTATGAGAGGCGAGGGCAGGTCGGCCGTCGGACCAAATAGACAGTTCAGAGCGAGACGCCTGCGTGTTCACTTCACTTATTATCATGAGTGCCTTATTGCGTACGCTTGTGAAAAAGATTCGTAGTCCTGTTAATTTTTGCTCTTTTACTGGGTTTTCGCACATAATGTGAACCGTAATAATAGATCGGTTTTGATTCCATGAGCTTTTGCTTCCACCAGTCTGCTGTTCGGGGCATGGAATGCATACATTTTCCTTTCTTCAGGGGCTGTCCGAGAACTGTCAACTTGAAATTTGATTATGATTTGTTCGATAGTTTCTGACACAAGGAAACAAAGGAGTGTCACTACGGCATTGGGGGCAAATAACTTATTCAGTAACGTCGTTAACTTTTCCCATTTGCTCAGGCAACTGTACATTGGTGCGGCTACCGCTGCTGCAGGAATACGGAATGGACTGTGTTGAGATAGTCGGCACCCTTCCTGTTTCGCCCCAATCCGACTGACCTGACCTGATCTGACCTGACAGCTGTAGGCAGTTACGTCTTGCCAGGCACCCGCGCAGCCATTTCGTTCGCGGCTGATCTCGCAACAGTAAAAATGTCTGGCTGTCATATAGTTTTAGACTGCTTTGAGTGAAATGTTTCGTAGCTACCCATGAAAAGCATATTCTTACCTGCAATCATCTCACATCCAAACGATCGCATCGTAACAGCTTACTCGTATTTCTCAGCATAAGACATTGATAGTCAACGAGCATCAATCCAACGCCTGCAACTGGCGCTGGCACTGGCAATAGCGCCTGCCCCACCAAAGGCCTCTGGCCAGATGTATCTTACCTACGACGCGGCCCACGGACCGGAGTTGGCCCGACGTGCGTGGTGCCCGCCTGACAGCTCCCTGAGGTCCCGGCTGGCCCGGAGCCCTGCCCCCTGTACTCAGGCATGACGCTGCCCCTAGCGTTGTGAGTGGTTCCGCAGACTTACTTCGGTTATCATTCGTTTGATAAACTCATGATGTATCCGGAATTCATAATGCTGAACACTGCGGCGAGATGGAATGCGCCTCTAGATTATGCAGTTGAATTGGAATTTCGTGATCGGCTAGCGGATCAGGCTTCGGACAACAAACACTGCTTGGCATGTGCTTCGATCGATGCACCCGTCCAATCGAAAAGGTTTTGGCTAAATTCATAACCAAATAAGAACAGCAGGAGACATTGCAGAGACCACGCCCCACACCCTGCGCGTCGCTGCGTCTCTGCATATCTCTGTGGTGTGTCAGCCAGGAAATCAGCTGCAGGTAGGCAAATCCATTTAAAATTCAGAGACCACAGGCATTATAATCGACAGTGATGTTAAGAGATGACACGAGACTCAGTCAGCGCCATTTGCATTTCGATACATTCAAACAACAAGCAAAGCATCGAGCGCCAAGCAAAAGGCCCCGCCCAGAACAACAGCGAGGCTCAAGATGTGTTGGAACAAGCATTGAAGCAAGGCACCGAGCGCCAAGCAAGAGCCCTACCCAGAACAACAGCAAGACTTTGGAGCGAAGGATCCGTGCACACCAGTTAATGCATGCCAACATTACTGGTGTCCACACATTTTGAAGAATGCCGGTGCGAGTGGACTTGGCCGCGGGCAAAAACAAATGTAGCGCATTCGGGAAATAACTCGACGGTGGCGGTTAATTGTTTTTACTGGAGCGCGAGTCGATGGACAGAGCAAGCGCAAAAGTGCCGAGTTATGCCTCCACGTGTAAGTCACATTATATCAAGATGACCCTCAACGACCCTAATAAACAGCATAGGAAATAAGACAGATTAGTCACTCCCGGCATTCACCGGCAGCGCTATAGCCTCTCTGTCCATTTTCTCCAGTTTGTGGCCCTAAACAAATTGGTCACGAACCTATCATATGGTGGATCCACGATAAACACATTACATGGGGCATGACAAATCGTTCCTATTTGGTGGCAAATGGGCCGCCTTGTTTGCGTGAATGTTTCGCTACGCAAGCTCACGGCACAAGGCGTTGTTATCGAAAACTGTTGATCAATATGCAGGAGGTGAATGCATGGACAAAGCAAGGAATGGTCATATGAAATAAATGGCAGGCGACAGTTTTTTAGCTCGTTGCAGTCTGTAGCGAAGTCAACAGCTACAACAACAAGCATCGCGAATATAAGGACTGGTCAGCTCCAGATGCAGTCAACACACATAGGAACATCTATCTGCTTTGATCCAGTACGTGCTCTATGCAGCATACAGTTTAGCAATACTAAGGGGATCGATTTTGTGATGGTCTTAAACGCCCATCACCAGTCAGTCCATAAGGCGCAGAAATTAATTCAGTGAAGGTCTTGATATCCCATACTTTTCAGAAGTAAGGCTATTCATCATAGGTATTCCTTTCTTCCCGCTTGTGTTTTTGATGCAAAGATAGCCTAATTTTCACATTGTTTTCTTTCCGTGTGCATGCGTGCGTGCGTGCGTGCGTGCGTGGGTGTGTGTGTGCGTGCGTGGGTGTGTGCGTGAGCGTGTCATTGAGACTTTACGACACACTCAGCTGCTGGGGCTATATGGCGTCGTCCGCCTCTCAGTCTGGTAGGAAGAGCGGGCACCGTGGGGATTCAAACCCCATCCACCTTTTTTCAGACGCGCAGCTTAAGCACTACACTATCAGTATTCCTTGTTTTCTCTCCCGTACACCAAAGAAATAAAACCTAATTTGTCAGCAGCAGTGTCACTTTCCAAAACCGGTCGGGGGGGGGGGGCAAGACAAAAAGTTTGATCTAACCTAACCCAAAAACCTCATTTCTCCCCGGATTTCAGCCAGTTGAATTTGTGTCCTCGATGTTAACATAAGCTTTTTTAATGTTTCGAAGATTCAAAATTGTTATCTTGGGGAAGGTCTCCTCATTTCAAGTTGCTGTGAGCTGTCTTTTTGTGAAAGGATAGAACGGGGTGTAATTCACAGAACAAAAACATCTTGGTAAATCTCAGTAAGGGATCACTGATGACGACTGCTGTCGCTGATCGTTTTGTATAACCACCTCAGCCGCGATCACGTGACAAATCCACTTGCCACTGTTGGGGGAAACATGCCTTAACTTCATCTGGCACACCCTGCAATTTTAAAAACTGCCACATATTGCAGTCAGTTGTTCAATAATAACATATCCAAAGATATTGCAGTCAATCACAATCCAAGCGTTCCAATTTGACAAATTTGTCAAACATTTGCAGGCTGCCCTAACATATGCATGAGTTAAAATGTTGATAACATCGGATAGCTACAAAATGTTCTTTGGTACAATATAAACATGTTACTAACTGTGACGTGCTTAGGTACCTACTACCTAGCATACCAACAGTTGAAATAATTGTTCTGCATTCATTCGGTCCAGTATTCACTCTGCTCACATGCGTTGAGGAGCTCATGGGACGGGGGGGGGGATCTAATCAGCATTTGGGGTTCAGGCGTCCCAAAAGTATATAAAGTGACACCCCTGCTTGTTGGCATGCAAATGAAGCCTCATTTCATTCGGCAAAGTTAGATTTTTAATATCAAGACCTTTGACCTCTCTTTTGAATGTACTGAACTCCTGAGATATGCTTCATATCATATGCTAGCTGTTTGAGATGTATTTCTTGAATGAAAGAGTGAGCCCAATAATTGCTCAATCATCTGACATAACTAGATCATAGTTCAGTGCGATCGTTCCATAGCGCCAAACACAACAGATACCTGACTGAAATATGGACGGCAGTCGTTATGAAGGGTGGGGCTCTTTATGGTCTACTTCACAATCAATAAACCTTATGAGACGAGAGCCTTCAAACCTGAAAGACGATGGGAACGGGCGTCTGCCTTTGGTGGACACTACTGGGAAGGTAAGGCCTCTTTCAGCGGGAAAAGGCAACTTTGCTTAAGTAGGGTATTTCAATATATTCCTGAGAAGACCTTGTAATTTACCTGCCTCTAGATGACAGGCTTTTGAACTTAGTACAAGTAAAATCCGACTCTTCGGCTGCTTTCCCTGGGACCAAAAATCCCACTCTTTATGTCTTCAGAGGCTTCTAGGACCTACGGTACGTCAGTTATTTTACATGAATGTCAAATGTCATGTAAGCGTGATAAGGGACAATGTTCTCAAAAGCGCGCATGCGCGCTTACTCACGCACAGTGGTCCGTTGCTGTGTGTGGTGATGTTTAAATGGATTACGCGGACTCCCTGATGTGGGGGGGGGGGGGGGGGCTGCTGTTATTCATAGTGACGAAGGCCTACCGGTTCTGGGCTTGGATCTAACGGTTGATTGGTCGGTGGGTCACGTGGCAAAGGACAAGCTCAGCGTCTCCTCACGCTAAACTGACGTGTTTGCTCGGAGTTTGCGTCTTTTGATGGCCCCTTTAAGGGTTGAGGATGTCACTCCCACCCCATGAATTTGTCACTGAGCTTGGGTGTCACCGGGCCTCTAAGATGACGGCAAATTCCGTTTACTTTTCAGTCATGATGTGCGAACCGACAATGTTCTCCTAAACCTTTGGCAGTGTTTCTATGAAAACGTCAACAGTTAACGATTTGGTCAGTGTCTACCCTTGTTCCATCGACATCATACCGCTAGCATGTGTGTGCAAGTGCCTCCCTTTGAAGGTTCAGTCAAGCACCCCAGTCATCAACCTAATCACATCGCTGGAAATTCCAAGTGGTTGGGAAGGGGGGGACGAGACCTCTGATGGATAGAGATCTCAATAACGGTAGGGGTGTCTAAACCCCTCCGGTTTTGATATTCCGCTGATATCAACCAGCATTGATCGTTAATGTGTCCGCTTAAAAGCCACTGTTCAATGCACCCATGTTTGTCCCAGCCCAGTTGTGCGGTCCCCAGATTTGTCCTACTCGTCCCCCCCCCCCCCCCATTGCACCTAATTCGCGCTATTCCTCTCCCCGCTCCCAGCATAAAACATTTTTGAGCCCACATGGGCGGCATGATGGTGCTCCGGACAAGCGTTTCTGTCTTAATGCACCGTCGCCTAAGCCCCCATGAAGCCAGTGTGACTCACGATGTTCCGTTAAGAACACTGTTACGTCATCTGCGAGGTGAGATGTGTGACGAACCTGGGAGACCGCCCGTCATCTCCAAGATAGAAGAGGTTACTTCCATCCAGGCTGGCAAGGATAGCAAAGTTTGGCTGTGGGCTAACCGCAAAGGAAATCTGTTCCTCTGTGTTCTAGTGCTGTGATAAAGAACGATAAAAAACAAATATGCTTACCGGTGGGGAATCTGGCAGAACATGGGCTCTGTCAGTGGAGCTAGGTCAAGCAAGGCCGTGAGCTGAACTAGCCCGCGGCCAGATTCGTAAGCCTTGAAGTTTTGGAGTACGTCGCAAACCTTCGCTTGGGACACGTGCTGGTCAGTGCAATCCCAGTGAACGGTACTGGGACTAAGATGTGCTTTGCTATCCGTGCTGGTTTTAACACGCGCCCGATTGGCCGGTTGGATACCCTCCGCTCGGGTGGGGTCAGTTTGACCCGCTGAGATCTCAGGAACGAAGGGAGCTAGAGCCATCAAATTCACTTCCAAAGAGTGCGTTGTCCTGTACGTAAACTCACTTGGGTCGAAGTTTGAGGCTCCTAGATCATGTCCTTTGGGTAAAATGAGCTCAACCAAGGTCAAACTCTAGATTGATATCAAAAGTGTCCTACAACTTAAGCATATGTTCCAAGCAAAAGGTTACATGCTCATATAAGGTCAGTGGCATTGTTTGACTCATCGAATGTCATGGTGATCAAAATCATACAAGACTGCTTTGGGTTTTGCATTTGAGTAACCCTAAAGATTGCGCTAAGCAGTAGGTTTATAAAACAGGATGTTGACCTGGATAATTATAGGTTAGCGACCTATTCTGACCTTTACGAAGTCCATGGAAACTGTAAAATGCAGTTCCTGTTATCAATGAATGCGAAATTAGTACCAGTAACTACCCAGTGCAACAAGCCCTAGAGTAATAAAATATGTTTGATTTGAACTTGGTCTGACCATCATACCTGACCCTGGGTCAATGGAATTTACTCATTCAATTGTTATGTCACCTAAGAAAGCATCTCAGAGATGCATGGCTTCGTCTAACACTTCGTTATTGCAACAGATTAAACAATAAGCAAAATCTAATCTTATCTATGTGACTAATGTTCCTCGCTAATGCAATGAACAGATTACGAGATTAAACAATTCTCTAAAAATTGACTTCGCTGAATCCATGGCCTGACTTTGAGTTGCTGTAGGTCAGTAACCTTACAAAATACATCTAAATTTTTGGTACCGAACGATCTGCGATTTAATTGTATACAACTGCGCAAAATTTGGCGCGGCCACGCCGCGCCGTTCAGCGTGTTAATGGCAAACATGATCTGCATCATAGCCAACCATATACTCTCATAGGTTATCATGTTTAAAAAATTCACGGATGAAATATAGGCTATGTTTTGGTCACGTTGGGAAGCCATTGGAATGAAGGCTTATTAGGCAAAGTTTCGGTCTCTGGTGTTTGGCTTGCAATTAAATTTGGGTATTATATCGGGAATATGAGAGGTATTCGCTGTTAGGAGCTCGGGGTGTGGGCCATTTCTAGGACGCGTGAGCGCTATTAGAACGCTACCATGTCGCTGTTATCTAGAAGACTATTAGAGCGCGTGTTTTTAAAAGCACACAAATATACACCTTTTGGAAAATGTATCTCACTGTCGCACAGGTCCAAGCTGTTCGGATGTGTAGATGCGCCTTTTCTAGCTTTCTTAACCCTGACTCAGATAGATGATTGATAACTGAATTGACTACGCAAGTGCATTGTATGCATGTAATTAGGGCGCCTTACCATACGGCTCGGCTTCAAGATTGAAAATAACTGCTGCCGACATAATTTCTCCTCAAAGCTGCGGGGGCGATCTCAACGTTTTCCAATTTTAGGGTGCGCTGATCTCCTGTGGTACGTTCTCGATCAGGTTGCACTAGAGCTGCCACTTTTGAGCACGCGGGCCCCACAACGCGCCGAGACCGCGTCTGTTAAATCTCGCCATTGCTGACTGCATGACGGACCTTAACGGATGTTCTACCTGTACAACTCATCAACTCATGTTTTCGCAACCACAAATGAGCACCTAATTATCTGACAACTTCGGTATCAAATGCTGATGGCAAATATATTTATTCACTGCATAAAAATGGTAACAAAGAAAAGTGTGATTTCGTTGCAAAGTTCTCCAGTGACGTCATGCACCTCACTTTATAAACAAATAGTCTATTGGATGGTGCTTTCCAAGAACAGCCTGCCAAGGCCCTATAACTGTACCATCCGCAGAGAGGTATAATTACTGAACCTTGCAGATGGAATCCCCCACACAACAGCAAGAGTCTTTCTGAAATAATTTAAAAGTAGGGCAGAAGCTGCCAGGTGTACTTTCCTGCACAATTAAAGGGTCTCAACCCGCAATTTTAAGAAATAGAGGAAACACAGCGATAGGCACAGCGATAAACACAGCGCAATAGAGCAAACACAGCATCTTTTGAAGCATTTTGGTAGAAAGCTCAGATATTTCCTCTGCTCAGCTTACTTCAAGTTTGTGCTGTGAAGCTGCACTCTTAGTTGCTGCACACCGCTTATAACATACAATACAGTAATGTATGTACATATAATTGATGGATTCAAGTACCCAAATCATATACAAACAGCAAACACCACCCAATGCCCGCACTGAATTAAAAGCAGACCCTGCATAAGAATGACAATATTAGTTTGCCAACTTTACAACAGCTGAACACCGAATTCAGTCTTCTGCAGCGCAGACCCTTTCTGAAAACTGTGCAACTTAATACAGCAATGCTCTCTACCGTATGCATACAGCATTTTGTTTTTAGCGACGAGAACACCGATCGCCGATCATCCCACACAATTTTCAAGTAAACTTATCCAGGGACGAAATCGGCGCACGGTGGTCAGCAAGATTTATCTATGTCGCCGGCTGTTCAAGGAACTCGGATGCGTACCCAAAGATAACTTTCACGTGGCATACGAACTAGTTCGTATTTACGAAGCACCATCTCTTCCCGGACAAGGCATGAGGTCAGTTATGGCGCATCCGTCTTTCACCGAAGACAACGCAACGCAGCATTCTTGGCGCACTGCGATAAACCTAATGGGTGTACTCGCAGTACATCAGGAATATTTTTTTTCCACGCGACGTCACGTGCAACCTCTGCTCGACGTATGCATGACAAACCCTTTCTTCACCCGTCGCCGGTCGTGAGCGCATAAGGTGACGTCTTCATGCTAGCGTCTGGCATAAATTGACGCGTTTTATACAGACACTGGTCACGCCATTTCTGTCTCAACTCGCTCAAGTGGCAGACAAAGATTATGCGTGACGTCATGAGGAATTTCGTCGGCCGGATCTCTGCGAACAGCGGCAAGAGCAGAGGCTATGAGGTGTATCGTCATGAGCGATGTCCACCGCGTAGATCCTTTGTTGTCCTGGCCGCTGCGAAGACACTCGATGTTTACCTTGTGTCGATCGTTGACTTTCCATGTTAGCGTGTGAGCGTAAAGCGTTGTCGTTTTGATAAAAGGTCGGCATTTCGTCCACATTGGTCACGAAGGCATTTAGAATAAAATCCAACATTAAAGGTAATGTTTTACATTTGAAGATGTTGGGGCAAGCATCAGATATGTTGAAACTTAAAACTATTGGTATGCTCACTTAAAACTATTGGTATACTTTTTAAGTGGACAAGACTGCTCTAGAAAGCACAAAGCCCTTCTTAGTAAATATGCTTCTCAATGCATC